ATTAAATCTTTCAAGACAGAGGGGGTTTAATTCAAGGCCCTCTGCTCTAGTCTAGTATTGCATACCACTTTCTGACTTAAACCGAGAGAGCTGGTAATTGGAAAAATGTGTTCAATGATTCATCTGTAATTTGCGCTGGATCCTGCAGTGCTCCAGATAGTATTAAAGACGTTGATCATTTAGCTTAAGAAGTCTTAAATGCATACACTGTATATTTCATATGTTTTCCATTGCATTTATAGTGCATTTATGTCTTACTCTAGGGGGACTACTAGTTTGTTTTTGCAGTAGTGTTGAATCAGAGAAAAGGGTTGTACTAATTAAGTGCAGCTTTTCAGACAAATATAAAAATGTTGATGTAGTAATAGGTATTGCTGATCAACAGAGCTATACAAAAAAAATTAAATAGAATTTAGCTGACTATGACTTTTCTTTTTTTGGCTAGCAAGGTGCTATTTCTACATCTGACCTGTTATTTTGTACTTTGTTGGTAAATGGTACACTGTTGTGATGTCAAATGTAAGGATTGATTGGATCCTGGCATTTTGTTTTCTGATCAATTTCGTATTTGTATATACAGTAGGGTTAACGCAGCTATGCCCGAAAAGCTATGAATGTAATGTGTAGACAAAGCAATGTGCAAAATAGCTGTGTAGAGAAAAATGCTCTATTAGCTTAGTCTCACCCAGTGTGTGCTCATAGTCAGCCAGCCACAGTCTTTCCCTTCAGTAGGAGCAGAACAATAGGCCTCAGAGATACCCTCCCAGTTTTTCAAATCTGCTAAGCCTCTTAAGGTTGCAGATCTGATGGCTGGTACGCTAGTCCACTGATGGCTGAATGGTCCACACTACAGCTCTGTAAATAAGGTTCAAGCTTAACACTATGACAGCCCGTTACCCAAGAAGCACAGCTCCTAGTTAATCTACTTTACAATGTGCACTCATATATTGTCATTAGCTAAAAGGAAAATAATTTGGATGACTCAGGAAAATGTTCTTTTATGCATTCCTGCCAGACCTTTTACTGCAAAGTGGTCAGTCTGATATATTTTGCCTGATCACTACTGACCTAATTCAAAAGCAGATCATAATTTTTAGGATCTGCAGGAAGCAGAACGTTCTTTTTAAAACTGCAGACATTCCTGTTGGCTGCTATTGGCTGCAGAACCTCAATAACTAAGACCAAATTGATCAGGGTGAGCGAAACTTGCACAGAATTATGGAAGGTGGTGGAGTGGTAACCTAGTCATACTTAAGTTTAAGCTTCTATTTAGGAGTAAATGCCAACTCTGAATGAAATGCTGCCAGTAAGGCTCTGTATTCTGGGGTCTACTTTGGAAAGTATGAGGTGGCCTTGTTGCATTTCCACACTGCCTTTATTACAGTTACTCTTCCGAAGATAAATGCAGTTCTCATGCAACCGGACATTGCGTCCTTCCTGGCATGATGGTGCTTTTCCATCCACACAACCCTCATAAATAAAACCAATAGCACTGCTATTATAGCTATTACAAGGTAACCAAGTGCTTTTCAGTTCAGAGGCATGATGCTGCTCCCGTGCTCTTTGAACAGGTATCGTGGAAGTGGCCAGCATGGCTCAATACTGCCCCATTTTACATCTGTACCTCTTGTGATCACCTGCGGTTGTTTGTTCACTGTGCAGTGCCATGTGATCTGGACACGAGCAGTGCGGTAATGTGGAAACTCACCAGAAGCCGGTCAGAGGACATACTGTAGGCTGATGGTCACATGCATTCTTTTCCCACAGCGGACTCCTTAAGCTGGTGACCCAGGGGATTCATTTAATTTATGCATGTGTTGTATTAATTAGTGGCACACTTAAGAAAAACCTTTGCCTTTAGCAGTTTGTGATGCACATTCTTTCTTGGGTGATCAATCTGTATAGTCCCATGAGCTGATATTGAGCAGGTTATGTTTCCCTTGTGTTTGATTTTATAATGTGTTCTCATTTTTAAGGAAGTGAAGGTTTAAGACTGGGGTGTGAGTGTTCTGACAGGTGCGTTTTAAATACCCGAGTAAAGTGCGCCTTCTGTGTTGCTGTTCGGCTGCAGATCGATTAGGCCTAAATGGGGATGTTGTCTTTGGTAGTGAAAGCAGTCCTCATTCATTTTCAATGCTGCTGCTTGCATTTCCTCTCTCCAGAGAAAACATGGAGCATGTTGAGCTTTTCACAACTACCAGAATCCCCCCTCCCCGTTACAATTATTGACACATTGGAAAAAAATACCTTGTGTTTGTATTTTGTGGTCAGCCTGTACATTCCTATCTTTCTTGGATTTTTCACTGTGTGATTAAACGTTGTTGTTGGGCAACAACTAGCTTTTTGTGGGGGAAGGGTTTACAGGAATTTCTTCATGCAAACTTAAAGTATTGCAAAACGTGTCACAAGTACAGAGTGCTGCTTTTTTACCACATATTAATGGGAGTAGAGAGAGCGCAGAACAGAATGTTTCAGCATTCAATCCTAAGTAAGGTGTGCAGAGGGGAGGTGGAGAGAGCAGAGCAATGAGGGAAAAGGGAGCTGGGGATGCAATAGAAAGAAAAGGTGAGGAGACATAGAGGGCAGGTTAAAAAGGAGAAGGAAGTTCCTAATGTGTCATTTCCCTATGCTACAGGAAGCTTGCACATACCTGCTCTGCTTTCTGAACTCCGAACAGCTGGATTTGTAATTTCTTGAAATATGTGAATTTGTTGTCAAACGTTTCTTTGGCACCCCACATTCACAATGATAATTGATTATGACTGGTACACCCGCAAAATGTTAAGGCGAAGGTCCTGTTCTTCTGTGATCTTTTATAGGGTCATGCTCCTGTTTAATTATTTTTCTAGAATCCTTTAAACTCCGGGCTGAAGACGAGTCCCGGTCAGCCAACTATTCTTACATTCCTTGCTCTTTACATTTCTTGTTTAACTTCTATAATCCATCTCCTGCCCCTGCGAATAGAGGCATAACACAGTTATTTTTTATTCTCAAGGAGTTTGTATTAATTAACCCAGCCACTAACACCTCAAGATGATATGTAATGAAAGCTGCTATAAATTGAATATAATTTTAAGCATATTATTATTACCATGTAATGTTTAATCACTGCAACAGTTAAAAGTTTATGCTTTGATAGACCTTTCCACTTCCTCATATGTTACCCATTGGTTATACTGTACATTTTCTGTGCTGACCTTTACTGTTAAATTTCTTCGAAACTCAAATAGTGAATTTTGGACTTGTTCTGTCAGAAAAATGAAAACAACACAATTAGTTCATTTCTATCTATATACAGTATGTATAATATCGACTTTCTGGTACAGAAACTCAGCCACAAGATCAACCACAAACATAAACATAACTCTTCATATGGGTGTTACAATAAAGCCTTCAAACAGAGGCTCAGAAATTAAAGCACATTTACTAAAATACATCAGTTATGGTGGTGCGGCTTTGTAACAGAAACCTGAAACCCATCTATGGCAATTTGCTAAGAATGAAAAAAGTTGATTATTTTACACAATTCTAGAGTATTTTTTCTAAGTGGTGTTAATCATAAAAGCTTGTTCCCCATTATGTTGGACAAAAGTTTGGCTTTTGCTGGCAGTTGGTTGATGGGTTTCAACACCTACTGTAGATCTCATGCTACAAAGTCTGGGGAGAAACAAAGTGTGACATCTTCACAGAACTGCTTTTGGTCATGAAGAAAAAGGGGCCTCAGTTTCTAGCTATAGAAGCCAGAAAGCCTCTCGAAATGAGAGAATCTGCTGGACCTAAACCTGCCTGAGAGAAAACTAGAAATTCTTCAGACCTAACTATGGCCGCCTTTAACAAAAGTTGTCACTATAATACATAATTTTCTTTTTCTAACCATAGGAAAAAGAATGTATACCCATATGAGGAGCTCCTGTATTTAGGGTTAGGACCTGTACTGTCCAGTATGCAGTACTAGCATATGTAACTTTTTGATTCTTGCATACCGGTATTTCTCATTGAGTCTCAGCACATAGTTTACAGAACTAAACAAATACTTTATTTAACTTTGACAGCTTTAATCATGTTAGATTGAAATAGATTAGTGCATCTCATTAGAATTAGTACCACTGAACACTAATATGGATATGCTGTTTAATACTGGACGTTAATACCTTGAGCTGAGACAATTAAAAACAAAAATAAAATTGTTGAATGTTTCCTAAATTTTGTGTCCTCTTGCAGTATAGAGATTGTTTTTCTCCAAGTCTTAAGGATTAAGGAAGTGAGGCAGATTTCTGTCTTTATGGTCAAATACCAAAACCAGATCTTCTCAGTTATTTTCACCAGGTGCTGAATTTATAAATAGGCCTGTTTTCAACAGATCTTTACAAGCATTCATTTTTTTAGATATGAGAAAGGGTCTACTCCAAATGCTGAAGTGGAGTACCTTTGTCCTAGATCTTGTCATTTTTAGTGTCATCTGAATGGCTCCATAAAACTACATGACTACAGTAAAACTGTGTGTAATACTTTGGCTTTAAAAGTCTTAGTATTGTCATTATTTCTTCTGTATGTGTTTTGTAGTTTAAACTGGACCATTTTCCTTTGCTAGCTAGAGGCTTTTTACCATTCTGTATCCTAAACTGACTGGGGGTGCATGTTAAAAGGTAGAGGCACTTGGTTTATATAGTAAGTAAAATGGAAATTTAAAGGGGTAGAGGTGATTATAACAATGGTTAAAGAAGCTTTTTATTTCCATTGTCATGACAAACCTTAGATCCCCATGTGTCTGGAAATAATGCCTGTACAGTAGTTCCATGTTATGTCCTGTTCTTCTGGGATAGGCTCTGGGTTAACGTGACCTTACTATGAGTACGAGAGAGAATAAGCAGTTTTCTGATGAAAGCTGGATGTGAGGAATTAAGCTCACTTCAGGCTAATGCGCAGTTTCGTTTCTGCAGTGGCAGTAAGGTGTTCATATTGGAAGCGCTGTTTCACTGACGTCTCGTTTCTGCCCGCAGGTGCTGCGAGTGCAATGCCTCCCTCTCACACTGGTACTATGAGAAGGAAGGGCGGCTGTTCTGCAAGAAGGATTACTGGGCCAAGTTTGGGGACTTGTGCCATGGCTGCTCCGAGCCCATCACCACCGGCCTCATCATGGTGAGACTGCAGCCTGGGAGTCATGTGGACACAACCCTCTGCACAAACCTGGCAGTCCTGTACCACACACACACGTATCTATATATATATGAGCTTATGACCAAATTCCATCAGTTATCCCACTCTTTGGTAACAATGTCTTCTTATATATGTTGTCATGTACACGGTCAGACTGTAACCCTGTCTTACAGAAATCTGTAACAATTTTGAGCTTCAGTAAATTTCTTTTTATATTTTTAATCTGGGTGCTATTTAATGTAAATGATTATTCATTGCGTAACGTAGTGGCTTTCATCCCACAACTGCTACACATCAGAGTGAAAGACCACATTATCAGGGCTTGCAGCCACATTTAGGATGGAGGAGTTAGCATCCCTGTGCTTGAAAGCAGTGCCATGGGATCTTTAATGATCACGCAGGACCACAGTCAGGACCTCTGTCTATTATCTCACCCACAGGACAACATTTCCTACAGCACAGTGTCCCCAGTCACCTTAATGGGGCATTCTTTGGGTAGTTCTGATCCAGAGGAAAGAGCACCACCTACTGGTCCACTAACACCATTTGCAGCTGTCACCTTGGTTTTTTTTGTGGTCTCCTATTCCAGTACTGACTGGGATTCAGGCAGCAGTAACTTACATTTTAAGGAGAAAGCCAAAAGTTTCAAGTTACTTGAAAATAAGATAATCAGGAAGTAGCAGATTTCCTCTTTTACATTCCGAACATCTTATATTCCCCATTTATACCCAGCCTTCCTCCTCTTTATCTTATTTTAGGGATTCAGCTGCATCCCTGCTGCATGCAGTTGTTTTGAGAGTCGTTTTTTCAGCATTTTGTTGGTGCTGCTCCCCCTGAAGTTTCCTCCTGGGCTGTGTTATGCTGGCAGTGCTGTTTTCCTTTTTAAGCAACACTCCCAGAGGAGGACAGAATACCAGGCACACCTCTCTGTCCACGCTGTAATGCGGGATGATTTTAATAAACTCTAAAGGATGAGGAGACAAAGAAGTGTAGTTTGTGTTTGAACCTCCCTATAAGCAAATGTACTGGAAGTTCCTTTTTCATTTATGTATATCGGAGGAGAGAAAGTAATATTAAGAAGGGGCCAGATGGGTTGTGACAATTGAAAAGAAGGAAGGTGGCAAGTACACCAAAAATGGGGAAAAGGTTCCCCACAAATCATAAGCCGAATTTAATTTTGTGGTCTTCAAACAACTGAGTTCAAATCAGTGAGCTTATAGAAATAGAAACTTGAATAGTGTTTTATTCAAGTGAACTCATCAGCACAGGCAGGGCCTGGAGTGTGGACATGGGTCTGTTGTGATAATCGTGGACACTATCGGGGATAGAACTGGCACGATGCCTGGCAGTAGGCAGTGCCACCCCCCTTCACGCTTCACAGCCCTTTTAATCCACCTTGTGAGAAGGAAGGAGCTTCAAAGCTTTGATTTTCACATGTGCTCTGTCATCCCTTAATACTTCAAAGCTTTACATATTAAGAACGCTCGGTGTCTGTGCCTCGGAAGCCGGCTTTAAATCTGTGAGGTGTAAGATAATATGCTGTACAGAGATGTTTCTGCAGCAGGAATTTTTTTTTTCAGCAGAGATTTCACACTTTTCATGCTTTTCATTTCACCTTGAAAACACCTTTCCTGGAACAGCAGACTGCCCGCTGTCTGCTTGTCTCTGTAGCCCTTGTAGCAGGACAACAGTCACTGCCAGATAAGTGTCTCCTGCTGACCTTGTCTTAACCTTCCCTCATTATGCAGCGTACCTCCAGCTGGTTTCTGACATGTCTCGATCTCCTAGTGATGCTTTTCAAAGCAGACAGCAAAGACCAGGGACAATCAACAGCAACCTCACACCAGCTCACAAGCTGTCTTTCTCACTCCACTGTTATCTCCCCCCACTACACCTCCCACTTCTGTTCACACTAAACTCCTACCTGTTAAAGAGCTGGGGCTTTGGAAACAGTGGTGACCAAGCTTTCATATGAGTGCAGATCACGCTAAAGAAAATCTATTAAAACGGAACAAAACTGATCAGTTATTTCACAATGAAAGTGGAAAATCTAGACTGGTCCCCACACCCACCACGCCCACCCCGTTTCAGTTTCACAACTGATAGAAAAAACATCTCCACCAATTTGGGCCCCCACTCCCCACAACCACAGCCTGTTGTCCCCTCTCAAAGCACATAGGTTGTGTGTTGGTCCTCTGCTCTTCAAAAGACTGTTCGCACACCTTAGCAGCATAATCTGGCACCAGCCAGAGACCACAGCAAGATTGGTATTTTAACAGTCTGTCAAACAGAAAGTTCGTCAGTTATTAGTCGTACTGGGTTGTACAGTTAGCTGATGATCCTTTCCTGGTTGGTTCAGTCTTTTCTGGCACCAGTGGCAGCTGGGTAACTTTCTGTGTCTGTTAGGAGTACCTGTCCACGGTCAATGACTGGTACAGCCTGGCTTTTAACTAGTTTAAAAACCTGAAGATCTGCCAGAATTTGAAAGGATGGTCACTCAGGGGACCTTAATTTATTAATATAGTTATCTAGAAAGACTGCAGTATTTTTAGTTCACTGTGAAGCTCATTGCAACATCTTTGCATTGTGGGCTAGGATAGCCAGGTCTGTTTATGTCTGTTTTTCTCCAGTGCTGCAGATGTAAACTAAAGAAAGTGTTTCAGCAATACTTTAGCCTCTGTATTGTTCAGAGCTTGTGGAATCTGCTGCATGAACCTTTTTCTGCTCTGTAACTTGCTGATGTTGATAAAGAACATGACACTCCTCTGCTTCCCTGGTGCACACTCAGGTTTATAATGTTGTTGCAATTTAAGTAATTAAACTTTTTAACAAATGCGAAATGAAATGTAGTTCACCATGCTGCTCTCTGCAGTGTGATCTTTCAGTTCAGGACTTACGGTATTACAGTTTTGATCTTGCGTGTTATAAATATCGAACCGGTTCTGCACAGAAATACTGTAACCTCAACAGAGCAATTGCAGCTGCTCTGGGTGGAAAGCCAGATTGTAGTTTTATAATTTCCTCTGATGCTACACCCAAGATACATGCTATAATTGCATTCCTAAAAGCTTATATCATTCCTTTCACCAACTCTTCAGTTTAGTTCTTTACAAAAGGACATAGAACACTATGATACAAGAAGGCTTTGCAACCAATTATATTATAAAGACCACCTGGTGAGGGTTCATACAGTACTATTTAACATGTATAACACATAAAACAGGTTAGATCTGTATAATCTCCACGAGTTCATAACTTCATTATTATTGGTCCAAACGTTTATCCAAAGAATTTTAGATTTGTACACATTTACAGTTTATACTTGGGCATCATTCATTCTGGAACAATTGACTTAAGTACTGTACCTTGCTAATGGGTACAACACAAGTGCTCCACCTGGGATTAGAACCACAACTTTTCAACTACCAGAGCCCTAACTGGCTGTACCACACTGTTACCACTGCTGTCCACAACTTCAGACGCTTCTCAAGGTTTGACTGAATATGAACAAAACCTAAGGCTGTGACTAACTCCTTCATCAGTGCTTTTCATGTGCTATGTAGCTCATTAGTTTAAGTGTAGTTCTGCATATAAAGTTTCAGCCATTCATTGCCATTGCCCAATACATAGCAGATCAAGTGGAGGTGTGACAAACTCCTGAATAAACTGATGAATTAAGGTTGAGCTTTAGTAAAATCAGATTGCACAAGCCTGGAGTGATGTGTAGGCAGGACAAGCAAACATTCGAAGCCCAAGGGGTTCAAAAAGGGACTCTTGAGGTATTTTGTCATTTGTAATTTGCGGTTCTTTAAACATCACCGGGAAGAGCTCTCTCCTGCGGACTAGTGAGTCATCACTCAGTGTCACTGTGGCCCTATACTCAGTACTTGTTCAATGTAAGGTCCATCAGTTATATTTCTAGTGGCACATCAGGTACATTTACAAAGAACACAGTAGCAGCAGTTTAGAATAAAGTGGCTTAAACTTCAGGTTGAAGTTAGATCATCAAGGCAAAAAAAGACCATAAAGGTTCTCCTTTAGTCAGCACATGCTGTATAGTGGAGCAATGGGAGTACAGGATGCACCTAGTTGATATCTTTAGTTCCCCTGATATTTTTGTCAGAACGGAGCTTAAAATCACAAAGCACAGTACTAGGAGGGTTTTCACTAAGAACATGATTAGTACAGGCCAGATCTTTTTTTACGTGATTAGTGATATTTCAAGTTTTTTCATTTTTTTCTTATTCTGTTGCTTTGACAGGTGATTCTGTTGGAACTTGTTCTATCTGACTTCAGCCCTTAAACCTCTGTCCCCATAGTGCAGGCTTGCATATGGTGATGTACTGTGCTATCTTAGTTGCAAATTATCGGCTTGTTACATCTAGTGTACCGATAGGAAATTAGGTTATTCATTGTACAGAAAAAGCCACAGAGTGCATTAAGGGTTGTGAGTACAGCTTTGTATTTAAAGACATAAATAGAACCTCAGCAGAGTTTAGTCTGATACCATTCTTAGTAAACGCAAATGTTTTTTTTTTAAGTAATTTAGTTGATAAATAAATTAACCAAATAGTTTTTCATCATAAAAGTAACTAAAATTAAAGTTACCCTTTAGCTGTTATTTGTTATGTACTGTACAGTATGTGTCTATACATACAGATCCACAATACACCTCTAGTATAGTTATTAGCAGACTGCTAGTATTTTGGGCTGGTGTAGAAGGTGTTTTAGTAAAAACAGAAAGATCCCCTTGTTTGTCTTTAAATTAGGGTTGAGTATTTTTAACTTCTTGGCTTATATAAAGGTCTTTTCTCTCCAGTACACCACGAGCTTCTTTTTCAGCAGGTTTATACATTGCCGTTTATACATTAATTAAAGAGATTTAGAAAAATGTATTTTTAAAACTTGCCTTAGCAAATGTTGTTACTCCCACCTAATTTGAAAATAGCCATTTTCTAACGTTTTTTAACTTCTGGTCATGA